TCCAGCCCTTTTATCTCAACAACTCTCGGGGGTAAAATAGGTTTTCATAATACATATCCATTTGTAAAAACAACTATTTTTCCTTAAAAATAAAGTTATCTAGTATTTTAATATTCGCGTTGCTTTTAGTAGACCACAATGTCTAATTGTATGTTTTTCCTTTTTCGTAATAATTGGGTTAATTGTGTTGCATAAAATGAAATTCCTTCACGTTTGCAACTATAGAATTATTTTTTCATTCAACCTGAAATGGTTTTAAGATTTTATTCCGAATCTTCTATTTACGAATAGTAGAATCGTAAAATGAGTATAAAACTAATTTTCTAGAACTTGTTTGCTTCGTTCTAGACTCACAATTTCCAGTAAATACCAAGTTTGTGCAAGATGCCGGAGACCACTGCCCAGAATGTGATTTCGGCAAATATTACATATAGCAAAGTACCCACACGCTCGGATTTCCACACACCGGTAAAAACATGCCGTCGAATCCAATTTACCTGCATTAAGAAAAAAGAAAGAACCTGAAATTCCTAATGTAGAACAAATATAATTTGTTATGATGATTGAATGTCATGTTTGCACTAACCAGGTTGTTATGCGGATTCTCGAAATACCATCCGTTTATAAATGCCGCGAAAATCCCCTCGGCTGCCATCACAAAAACGAGCATTGCATTCATTCCAATCCATTCCAAGAACACAAATGGCGTTCGGATTCCCCATACATCAATCTGTACATGCAACCGAGTAACAAATTTGAGAGAGAGAGAGAGAGAGAGAGAGAGAGAGAGAGAGATTTTGTACCAATATGTAGAATCCGGAGAACACAATGCCTGCTGCACCAGCTGTAGCGCAAACATAACTGAAACTGTAGAGTTGCTTGTTGATGGGAATAGCTGTAAATGACCAAATATGGTTACTATTTATTAATCAACTCTACAAAATTATACTTCCAATGCAAGAATTATTTAACAAGAGTTGCTACAGATATCACCATCCGTAAAATGGAGAATTAAGGCGAGAATCAGCAAAACAAGCGCCATCGATACCCATTGTTTGAGGCGTTCTACATGACCCTGCAAAAAAAAAAAAAAAAGTTTGACTCTGGCCTCTAATTTTCTCAATCAAAGCACTCGACGCTTATTAATTTCTACAAGGTAAATTTACTAATTTATACCTTGAAATGAATCAGAACATGGCCGTAGTGAACTCCAATGGTTCCCGATATTATTGCTGAAATTGAGCTGGAGGCAAAATTTCAAAACCATGCCAAGATTGTTGTAATTCAAAATTTATTCAATGGTAAAGCAGCATTATTATTGGAAAATTAGAGAGCAAAAAAAAAACCTAAGCAGTCCTTCCGGTTCAAATGGTGCTCGACACCAAGTAGGTGCGTCCTCACGGAGTGGTCCAGCACCTGGAGAACTTAGAGTGCAAGCCTGCAAGTTCAAAACATTAAAAGTACAATGAACATCGAATATTATTAATACAGTGGTCATTCTTCCTTTGAAAGTGATATTTTGGCGTAAATACAAAAACGACCTCAGTTTATACAGCTTAAGTGCATAAAACTCCACCAGTCTTTAAATAGTGCGGGTCTTTGTAATTTTAATACATGAACATAATTTCGTTTTCATTTTTTCTGACCTTTAACCGTCTCCAAGCTGGTTTTACATATAGATGATTAATACCCCAAACTTGTCTATCCACATAACCAACTGCGTTGCACGCAGGTCCCAAGTGCCCTCTCATCCCACATTTTACCTGTAATAAGTTAAAGCATAATTCAGCCTCTTTATACTAACCAGAAAGTTACTGCTGTAGTAAGATTCTTAGCTGATTACAGTGTATTTTTCGGGCCCGTGATTGTGGTACACCACGAAACTCCAATCCGGTATGTAAAGAGAGAATGTCGTGACCATGTAGATCACAAATGCCACAAAGCCACCCATCCTGGAAAGGCAAAAGTTAAATTGATGCAAATTTAACGATAATTTGCCTAAATGGTAAAAGAGGCATTGGGGAAAATTGTCTACCATTGCCATTTGTAGGCAGTGAAAATTGAGAAATGATCGGGTTCTAGGCTTGTCGACCTGAGCTTGGTGGTTAGAGTTTCTATTAAAGCCACAACAAAGTACACCAAAGCTATTCGCTGTTTGGACACACACGCAATATAAATTATAAGACGCAAGCAAAGAGCCTGATTAAGGTTCTTAAATTAAATAAAGCGAAGCTTCTTCTGACCTGGAGAATGCCGAACCATCGGATTTTCTTCAAGTCGACTCCATAAGTTAAATGATCCGGTGCATGAGAATAACCTCCTGCCAAGTGAGTAAACCAAAGAACATTGATATCTAATAAACACCATAATCGAGCCTGGCTAAGTTTCAAGCGTGTTTGGAGACTTATCAAATCAACAAATTATGAAATTATACCTCAATTGAAACATTGCCTTCAGTCAAATGTTACAGAAACATATCATAAAATACCTTGCAGCAGAATTCCCCAAAAGAGGAGCTTCAACGTCCTCAGAGTAATCTTTCTTATTGCGAAATCGAACCTTGAAATTCTCTGAAGAGTCGAACAATGATGGATAATTCTTTTAGCACACCAATTCAAGAAACTTTTACAATCTCAAAAATACAACAAAATGATTACTTTTTTACAAAACAATATCTAGCATCGATTTGAAATCCTCCAACTTCCATTACCATCCCAACATGCATGGGGATTTGAACTTGTAAATTTAAAAATTATAGAATTCAAATCCCTCAATAAATCCTTCAATCCAGACGTAGTCTTATGGTATTTTGGGAGCAAACAGCTGAAGATCAATAATAGAGAAAGAACCTTAAAGGCAAGGGCTATGGCTACCCCCACAATGAAGAGGAAAAATGGCATCACAAAATCAGCCAACGTGCACCCATCCCACGGCGAATGCTCCATCACCGTTGGACACACAGACCCAGCATCATCCACAAGTATCATCAACTACAATGATTACATACAGAAAAAAAAAATAAAAAATTATATATATATTTATATATTTCTTGAAAATTAATTGAATTGATTATTATTTCTTGAAAATTAAGTTGAGCTATGTGAATTGGCTAAAACTGAAGAAAATGTTACTTGAGAATGTAAGTACAACTGGAATAGCTTAGGGTACCACAATTGTGAGACCCCTGAAGGCGTCCAAGGTCGCGACTCGCTTGGTCCTCTGCTTTGCCGACGGCGGCTCCTTCGGCGGGTCGGCCGGGGCTGCTGTCGTCGTCGTACCCTTCTGCTCGGCGTGGGTGATGTCGATTTTGGTCTGGTGGCCGCTGGCTGAAAATCCCTCCTCCAGCTTCCATGGATCTTGCATCATACAACTTGCTGTGCCCTAAATTTGCTGAATTTTTGCAGCTCAATTATTAGCTTGCAAATGCTGTTCCTTTTTACTTTTTTTTTTAGGTGATTATTAAATGTTTGTCTATGGCAGCATAAGGAGCTAGTTGGTGGGACGAAGATAAGTTCAGACGCCGGCCATGATTTTGTTTGGCAAAAATGTGATAATATAGTGACAATAATTATACAACGCTCATTCATAGTTTAAACTAATAATAATGTACACATCATTAAGGGGGGATTGTTTGCATATTATAACCGGTTTTAACTATATAATCTTTTTATATATTTTAACTCAAAATTCAATTCAAATTTAGTTATTATTAATATAAGTACTATCAATCAATCATCGCATAGCACATTCATTTTAATTTACTATTCATCAATTCACATATTTTAACTACCTATTGATAATAAATTGCTTCTGAACAGGGTTAAACTGGCACCAACACAAACGGTCCTTCACCTTTGAATTCTAATGACCTGCAATACGCTGGGGAAGGGTTCTGGCGGAAATACCTTTGACGCTCAAGTTCGTACTCGCTCGTGAGAATATTTGAAATTGTATGTTGTAAGCATAAATATGAAAATAAAACTTGGTAACTCTTTATATATCGAGAGGTGTCATGTTGCCCAAGTAGAGCCGGTGCTAGTAAAGAAATACTATTATATCTTCTTTCCTAACTTAACACATCTCTGAGATTTTTAGACTCCTTGCGAGATATTATAATTTCCATCCTTGTTAGGATTTTGTTCCTCTTATCATATGACTCTTAGGTCCCTAGATTGTCCCCTCGACCTCGTGACCTAGTTGTCGCGAGATCTAACTAGGTTGAACCCCTGACCTTTACTTAAACGACCTACAAATCGTAACATCCCTGACGAGCTGAAGCACTGATACTGAGCTGAAGCTCCCTCGAACCGACCATACTCGAGCTAACCACTCAGACCAGTTCATAGAGCTATTCTGAATGCTATATTACCTATCATTTCTAATAACCCGTTTTCTACATTTATATTACATTAATTTTAATCATTACATTTTAAATAATATTTAAGTACAAACTCAAAGTCACATTCAATCCTCCACAATCAATGCCTTAAGACATCAAGATCAAATGCACATAGCTCTAAAAAACAAGGTATCACAATTTGGGCAAAAGGATTATTTCCACAAATGAATCAAATGAACCAAGGTAGCATAGTGAAACGCTTAAATCCTTGTTTATTTATCTCTCTTCGTTCTTTCCCCCCTTTTCCCTCTTTCTGCCCTAATCCAATTTGTGCTCCGTTTCCTCTTCCCCAGTTGGACCACCGAGCTCTTAAACGGTGGTCAGTTCCTGGTTGCGCAGATCGGCCCAAAATTTGTCTCGGGGCCTGTCTTCTCGCGCCAGAGAATTGGATGACTGGTTTCGAGGGGATCTCGCCGCTTTTCTTGGTTGCCTTCTCAGAATGAAGGTTGTCGGATTCCTTGGTGGCGAGGCAGCGACAAGCGTTGGCGTTTCTGTGGGGGTGACTTTTGGCTCTGACTGCCTAGTGGCAGCAGAGGATTGTGGACGCTCTCCCCCTTGTACCATTTACCCCTTGTGCTAGGGCTAAAGGGAAGGTCAGCGAGTCGAGCCCTGGCCCATGTTTTGGGATGGGTTCAGGGCTGTGGTGGTGAGATGGGGGGTTTGTTCGACTTCATCCGACTGAGCGATTGGGATTGGTCGATTGGGCGTGGGGTTGATCTATTATGTTTTGGCTCCAGTTAGGCATGTGTTGTAGTTTCTGGAACTGAGATTTGGGGCGTGATCCGGCCTGTAGGGGTGGTCAGCCGTGAGTGTCGCCGTTGTAGTTCACCTGGCGTGATTTCCCAGCTGTGGGAAGGACATTAGTCTACTATATTTAGGTTGTGTTTGTGTGTGCTAAGTGTTTTTTTCTGTGTGTTTGGGTGTTAAGTTTGGGATCTGTGTGCGTTGTGGTAGTTTCGACTTCTGGCTGATTTCTAGTTATAATTATATGTTTTTATTTATAAAATTCC